GATATTTATGACTCACCGGACAATCGACAGGCAGATTCACGCGCGCCGATCGCGCAGAGTTTATCTCATGTGTATAATAACATCAACTTCTGACTGATTAATTAAGTAAGTATTGTTATCGGCACGTCATGTAAATAATATAGTTGCATCGCATACAGACGGTTTTATTCGGCGCGTATTATTATGCAACATTTACGTCGCTGCGATGAATGCCGCCGGAATATTGTCACACGTAGTCTAACATAATAGCGTCGGCGCGTGCATCGCGTTAATTGCCCGCGTGTTCTCGCCTCACGAGACTTCATTAATTAAAGATGTCCCCGACGTGGCAAGGTACTCGAAAATCAACGTCAAGCGCCGCATGTCGTCCGTAAAATATAGTCTTACGTAATGCCGCATATTTAGCATTATAAGCACGCAATATGTAATATCCGGGGTGCCGCGGGTGCCTTCGATGTGGGAATCGACCCGGAAAGAGAAGTGTGTCTGGATTTAACGAGGATTTAATTAAGTTTGCGGATTTGCGCAAGATAAATGTTTCACTTGGAATTCCGCACAGTGGAATTCACACGCGTGTATTAAACGTTTTTTCTCGTGCGGCGGTTGTCAAAAGACGGAGAAAAAGAAAAATATCAAACGCGCCTCTACGAAACACAAAGATATTTCCCCGCCTACGTACACGCACACGCACACATCCAAGAGTAATTAGCGTTTGCGGCTCTTTCTGCGCTCTTTTTCTCCGGACAATTTACTCGTTAATTTCGTGTCATGTAGGCGCGCCGTTCGATTAAACACAGCGTTTTTGTTCGCGATGCATGACTCGCAAGAAATCGCACTCGAGCGAGTGTCTCTTCTCAGCCCGATCGATTCATCTCGCTCCTAATTTTTCGTTCCTAATCGTTCATCGTGGATTCATCTATATTTGCCGGGCCGCGTTCAGACATTTGCGTGTGTCGTGCGTTCTCGCTCGCGGTCCGTTGAATTAATAACAGCGTCGAGACGCGGAAACCGTCGGCGTGATTAATTCACTGCTGCGGCTAATCGTTTCCTCAAGTGCGTTCGAGATCACGGCCAGTCGAGAGCGCGGCTCTCACGTGGAATTGTGCTCGCCGTCGTGGACACACACGCATCCCCACAGATTAACAGACAAATCTCATCTCGCAGGTCTTACTCTCTTCGACGTCTTTCCGGACGATCTCGGATCTCCGTTCGAACGTAAGCCGCACGTCCTCGTCCCGAGGTTGTAAAAATTTGCGCACTCTCCCGACGACACGTCGCGACGCGGCGTATCGTTAGAAGCGATTCGCCCGTGTCAATTGATTAGCAACCCCATAGACATTCGCCCCACAGACTCGCCGTGGACTTGAGGGTCGTACGAGCATTCGGGAGAACTGTGTTTTCGGCACGAAGATCGCGCGCGTACTGAAAATCCCAGCAACCACCCCCATCGACCCTCACTATCCGCCCCCGTTCCAATATAGACAACCCGTATATATATATAACGCGTGTAAAACGCGCGGGCTGCATATCTCACGGTGACGAAGACAAGAATGCATAATTACAAAGGTCGCATATCGCGACACCGGCTGCTTCCTCCGCGCGAGATTTTCGCGTCTTGATTCGGCCGTTTTTCGATCACCGAGCCGAATCACCAATCACGAGAGATGTCATCTGTGCGTCTCGTGCACAGCTCGAGCTTTTCGCTCGAATACAGAAGCTTTTGACAAGCGAGTCATTGTTTGCTGAAATTTATGTTGAATCCATCTTTGAGTCTACTTGCGTTACGTGGCTTCGCCGACGAGCGCGCGTCGCTCGCTCGTCGGCGAAGGGAAATTCCGGGTTGTATCACCTTTCACCCCTAATTCGGAAGATCTGTCGCGTTGTAACTGCGTCAATTGAGTCGGATCGGAGTGATCCGAATAGCACCGTATCGAATTCAGCTCGTCATGCTAAATTGCTGAAAGCATAATCGTAACCGCTAAAAGCAACATTGATGAACGCGACCGCGCAGCGCATCACATGCCTCGCAAATGAAAAATAAAAATTTAACAATAATGTATATTGACGGAGATGTGCATCCAATTTTATACTGCTCGCTAATAAGCAGTAAACACTGCAAATTCGCGCACGCTTCATATTTTCATTTCGTGAGGGCGGTACTCGGAATTTCTTCTCCCTTCTCTCGTTCTCACTCGCGAGCCTCGCAAATTCGCGAGTGTCTCAATTTGGAACTTCAACTAAATTTCGCGCGAGCAGAGAATAGAAATCTCGATCTATACGCGATAAGAAGTACACCTCAAACGGTGATTGGTTCTGGACGTTGCACAAGTCAGCCAGATAGTCGGAGAGAGATCGATACTACTCTACTTTAGAACTTTATAAAAGCCGATTACTACCGCGTATCGCGTACCTTCCGTATAAATAAATTGCATCGAAAGCCCATCTCGGCGAGGATCTTATAAATATGTCTTGGAATCGTATTTCGGACTTATTCCAACTGGGAGCTGCTGCTGTTTCCGTCTCACCATACGCTCCTCATCCTTGTTACCTTCGGATCGATCGATCGTTGTCACGTTTGCTGTAACGTCGCAATGCGCGGCATCTCGGCAAAAAAGGAGCGCGCGCGGCACGAAAGAGTTGTGTCGACGCGAGTAATCCCACGGGTCGTAAGATCATTGTACGGCCGATGTACATCGGAAATGTCGACCGAGATTTAGGCTCGACCGCCTTCTTCAGTTGATGCAAATGCGAATCCGTCTCGTCGTCGACGTCGAAGATGCCGAATCCATTTGCTTGACCCTTTCAACGCTAAATTAGAATACGGCCATCGCGCCGCTGTGTGCTGACTCAAGAAGGGCAATTTCAGGCAGCTTTAGAGCTATCGGCCGGCGGAACAGACAGAGACGCGCCATAGAAGAGTATTGAAACTTCAATATAACGTCTCACTCCGAATTAATCTTCTTATCAACTAATACGCAATTCCGATTATTTCTTTTTGCAAGTCTGTCTCCCACTCCCTTGCGCTTGTTTGTGCAAGGTAGCTATGTCGGGAGCAGATCTGTGATCGCGACGGTACTTTCAAACGACAGTATTCCCTTAAGCTACGAATCTCGTCGGCATTGTTGCCTGATCTACGTATCGCGGGGAAATGTGTGTCCTCGATGGAGAATATCACTAAGCTTCGCATCGTTAAGTAAAACTTGTTTGTGGTACAGCTGCTCAGAATCGATGGAGCTCGCAATATCATTCTTCGAAAACTAGACAATCCCTCGGAAGTTCGATAGCTGCCGCTACAAGAAATCGCCCACACCACGGCTACGATGTAGCCATCAAAGTGGGATTAAAATTTTAAGGGGGATGTTGTAAGGTACGGGATATCGGAAATGGGTCGCGAGATTCGTGCTTCCGGCTATTATCGAAGCACCGATCTGAATCCTTCCAACGTATGTATTTGTAATATTCGTTGAATATTCATATCAATACGATATAGGCCAATATCATATGTCCAAAACGAGATATATATAGCTCGTTCGAGTGATACAATAAATCTTCGAATTATTTATTCTCGTCGCTTTTGCGGATATAGTAATTGCGCAAATCCTCTTGAAAGAATTTTCTTCTTTAGTCTACTTACAGATGAGCCATATACTTGAACAAAGTCTAAATCTGCCGAAATCGGTCGTGCGGTTAAGCATTCGATCGATGTGCGCCTTTTCTGCGCTATCTGACATATCCCAACATTCACGAGTCTATTCTTATTTTTAGGAAAGAATATTCTTAGTTTCTCTTGTTCTTTTAAAGCAATTGTCTAATACCGATGAATGTCTTTTATGGGAGAGAAAGGAATGCTTGGATCATTGATATTGATCCTTGTTGAAAGTTTGAGTTGAAAATGTGAATCAGTGCACTCGTATCTGCGCGCACAATAACAATACGTCACACAGACTGAAAAAGATGCAAAAGAAGAAAGAATTAAAAGGAAAGCTCACGTAATCTGTTGAATATGCATGTACACTGAAATTCAGTAATACTTGTGTATACTTGTGTACACAATGCATAATCCCTAGTAGCACACTTCATTGGCGTTACATTGGTGTTACATTGACTAGTGACATAAATTGGAGTTACATTGGCCCAGTGTATCCCAATATACAGCCAATATTGGTTAGATATTAAATTACAATATATCGCCAATATTGCATAGCATTGTTATACCAATATTGACTTATATTGGGGTTACATTGGCTCAATGTATCCCAATATGCAACTAATATTGGTTAGACATTAAATTACAATATATCGCCAATATTGCATAGCATTGTTATACCAATATTGACTTACATTAGGGTTACATTGGCCAATATTGGGGGCCCAATATGTTGCTAATATTGGCCCAACAATTTGTGCTACTAGGGATGACGCGCGTTAATGGTGTCGACGCACCCGCATTCACAAAACGATCTCGCGAGATATTCACTAATTCTTTTCCTTTTTCCATGTAGTAAGCAACCCGATCCATACCGTCAACCATATAACAACCACATTTCTCAAATATTACAAAGAAATTTAACTATGATAAATGTCAATTATGTTTCCTGTTTTGAAATAATATGCGATTAAATCATGCAAATTTACGACTCACCGCACATGCAAAAATACTACCGGCGAGCGTGATGATATTCTTATAAATATTATCATTGCCGAGGGTTATCGATTCGCAGGTAAAAATTCGGATATCTTTCTCTATTATTTAAGATCATAATTAAAGAAATTCAGCGTACACTTTATCTTGGTAATTCATGATATTTGATAAGTCTTCTTTAATAAAATTTCGTAACCATCCAAATCTCTTACAATCTACATTACATCTATGTTAAATTAACAATATAATTTGAAGATATCTTGAGATATTGATCTGGGAATTGGAACGAGACTTGGGAATTACACGATAACATAGAGGTTTGTCACATATTTGACAAAATCTTGCAATTTATATTATTACATTTTTCACAAGTACAAGTAGAAAATATATACATACTTTATAGTATCAATAATATCACGTGTCTAAATACATGCTTCCGATATCAGTTTGATCCATAATATCTTCAAAATCGATTGAAGACTTTTTTTCTATTTGATTGCACATTTGTAAAAGTTGCTCACTTGGTCCATTTGAGATTCTTCCAATCCTTTGCTTAATAGGGATGTATAATTCAGTTATATCACCGAATTCATCATCAGAATCATCCGAGTTTTCTTTCTTGTCTTCCACATATGCATGCTTTTCTGTATTTGACGTTGATGCTTCTGATTCGGCTTTTCTATTTCCGTCTGTAAGTTGATTCGTGGATTCTATAGGATGGCAACTTTCAATATTAAGTCCAAAAGTTCGTCCATTACATATTTCTTCTATTACATTTGATATATTCGAGTCATTATCTTCATCTTCGCTCAAAAAGTCGTCGGGTGAAAGTTCATTGAACATTCTATCAAGCGTATTATTTTGCCTTGAATGTAACGTTTTCATTCCAAGTATTCTATCAAATTGTGGCCCACGTTTTACATGTTTCGTGCTCACAATTGTATTTTCAGACGTATCCTTTATTTTTAATTCCTTTACTTTAATCGAAGTATTTTTCTTCTTTGACCTTTTTGGTGTAATTACCATTTCTTCAAAAGACTCTTCCAGCGACATAGGACAAGTTTTAGAAATAAATTCATCTATCTTTCTATTATTTTTATTTTTTATAACTTTTTTTCTCGTTTTATTTTGGCATGATTTTGCATTATTTTTTTTCTCAGTATTATTTTCTACTACATCCGTTACAGTCTTCTTTTTTCGAGAATTTGCAGTTCGCTTTTTCGCTTTTGCATTTCTCATATTTTCAAATGTTTCAACTAATTGCGGGTAACACTTTAAAACTAAATTCTGTGGCTCAATGCTTGTCAGAAAATTATCATCATCATTGCCATCATTTCTCTGTGTTTGTTCTTTATAATTATTTAACCTCTCTATTTCACTGTGCTCTTTTTTCCAAATAATCTCATAACTGGCTATAGATCTGATATTACGTATTTTTCTTATTTCATTCGGAACGAATAAATTTGGTATAGATAAACGTTTATCAAGTGTAAGATTTGATAGATGTAAAAGTTGCCACCTAATGGTTAAGGTGAATATTTTTTCAAATGCATATTGTGGATCCCAACATAAATATTTTTCCATAAAATCCTAACGTAACATAAGATCATATATGTTTATATATATGCTAGATTATGATGAGACTATCATATATATATATATATATATATATATATATATATATATATATATATATGTATAATAATTTGATATATACAACTTACAATAAAATGGCTGACTTGAGGCTGCTTCCATTCTATATCCAATTTCGTTGGAACTGCATCCTTCCGCACAAGAAATTCCTCTATTAGCTCCTGTTTTGGAAAAGTTTCATCACATAGTGCTTTCTTTCTTAATGATATCTCGTTCAACATCAGCACTCTCTTGTGTCTATATGAGCCAAAAAGTACAATGTATTACACTTGTGAGAGTTCATGTCTCTGAAGAAGTATATAACATATATAATAATAATTTACTTGTAGTCATCATTGCATTTTCTAATAGTACCGCAATCGGTACATCCCGACTTTATGTGCTTCTGCAATTTTCCTTTATGGCCACATGATGTACATAAATCTGAATTTAATAAATCTGATTCTACTTTGTCTAACTTTGTATCTGTTCTCCATTCTTGAATCCTGGAAAAAAAGAAAAGCTATTTATTTAATGATAATTTAATTTAACAAATTTTTTTGTACATTTAATGTTCAAACCTTTGTAAGACATTATTATCTTCTACGATCTTAAAAAATTTTAAAGCAGCCTCTTTTCCAACACCAGTTACTCCTTCATCGTAATCACAGCCACATAACAAAGCCAATGCTATCATTTTATTTCGTCCTATATTCAATATTTTTTCTATCTTGTCCATGCAATAGATATCGACAGAACCACCTCTAGCTCCGCAATTTCCTTGGATACTTGTACAAAAATTTCTATATACTATTCTTGCACCATATAAAAAACAATCACTGTCTTGACTTATACATCCATCTACAAGCTGAAAATATATATTTCTTGCTTTAGAGATAAACATAGAATTAAATTAGGACCAATTTTTATGTGGCTGAAAAATCAAATTTATAGTTCAGTTTAAATTTTCAAATTTTTTAATATTTACAGATTATGTGTATAACTAGGAAACTAAGAGTTTCTTTCAATTATACGAAAACTTACCCCATCCTCATTTAAATAAGCACACATAGCTTCTGCTTCACCATGGCTCTGTATGCAGGTAATACCCATATACTCCAACATTTGTTTACATTCAGTTAGAATCCGGTTAAATTGTGATCTTCCTCCTTTCTTGCTTGTCTTTCTTTCGCAAAACCCATGACGGACATTATGTCTTCGTATAATAGTTTTGTGTTTTATGTCAGGTGCCTTTCCTTCTAATACAAATACAGGAGATATTCCATGCATGAGAAGGAATGCTGTACGAAAATATAGATTCCTAAAATAATTGTAAAATTGTCTAAATGACATCTGTTAACCTGATAAATATCAATATACCTGATAAAAATATTGTATACAAATACACATGCTAGTCGTTATTTCATTAAAATTGATTTTATTTTATAGATCATGCGATTCTAATTATACAATATAAAGTATTTGAAAGAAAATGAAATTTACCTCAGGTACATCTTCGATTGTACGGCATTATCTACGATCGTTTGGCTATCAACGACCCAACCGCTTAAATCGATCGCAATAGTTTTGCCTTGTAACTCATACAGTGGTTTTCTATCGCACAAAGGCGATAAAATGTTCCAAAGGTCTTTTACACCCATTTTAAAATATGACGTTCACATTTCGAACTCAATCTGTCAATGTCTCGTTGAAAATCGAAGTGCATCTTACCCGCCATGTAAAAGACTCGCAGCCATGATTAAGTTTTCGTATTTATCGAATGAGCTCAACGATAATTTTTTATATAACCGACATCGATATATCGATATATTTTAAAAGATCAACTATCGATATATTTTAAAAGCAACGCCATCTTAGGAACGAGACAGAAAACAGTATTTCTGCTCTCTCTTCTGCTGTTCTTCCTTGACAAGATGTATCATTAAAATAAACATTAACAATGAACAAATATCCATTAACAGAAAGTCAAAAGACATTCCTCTGGGTTAGTTGTACATGTGTTGGCATGTATGTAGCTTACAGATATTGGAAGAAACGTAAACTCAAGACGATAAATGAAAGATTCGGAGAAATATCTAAGGTTAGGATTCGTGACTCGATTCAAAATTGCTTCAAACACGTAGATTTGATATAATACGAATAATATCTTTCACAATTTTCTCTATATAAGAATATGTAAAAAATAAATCCTAATATATATTGTACTTTCATTTTAGCTTTTAAGTAAACCTCAAAAAAGAGTAGTCTTATTGGGATTAAAAGGTGCTGGAAAGACTTTGTTAGTGAATCAAATGACTGTTTCAAATAACAATGACTTTAGTTATACCATGCCACCACAGCCTACTAAAGGTTCTCTTATTACCAGATTAAAAAATGATTTATGTTATTATAATATATGGGAAGGTATGTATGTACAATTGAGTAATAATTTATACATTTTCAATAACCTCAGTTGATAAATGAAAATATTTAATTATTAATTATGGACTTGTATTCACAATAGAAATATATAATTATTTGTTACTAGTTGGTGGCATTGATACATTGGACGATGTGATAACATATTGGACTATGTTTTCATATGATGTTGATCTCATGGTATTTGTAATAGATTCTAATGATACAGATAAGTTATCTGTCATAGCCTCATCACTTAAACAATTTATAAATAATCCACAACTGAGTAAAACACCAATTTTAATAGTTGCTAATAAACAAGTAATTATCATATCTTCATTTGGCACCATAAGATCTCAGAAAATCGAGAATATTGAAAATTACTTTAGGTTACCATCAAATAAATATTGCTTTTTTGTGATTTTCAGGATTGCCCCAATGCCTTAAAGCCAGAACAAGTTGAACAAGCTTTAGATTTATTGAGTCTCTCACACAAGCACAAGATAGAACTAATTGGATGCCAAACTGAACCATTGCCTTGTCTGTCAGAAGGAGAGACTAATTACAAGTGGTGCCATAGTTCCGTAGTTCTGGTTATGAAAAAGATGTTTTCCATGGCTATATCTTGAAATAATATCTCAAAAGGTAGGCAGGTTATGTTAAATGTTACATAAAAAAATTAGGAAATAGATTTTATAAAATAGAAGCATAATAAATTAATTTTTACTATATGGTCATTATTAGCATAATAAATTTTTATTTCTTCATATTAAAGTGTTGTTTTTGTAATGTATATATAGCTGCTATTTAAAATTTAGACAATTAGTACGGATAAGATAGTAGGATGTATTCAGTTAATTTTCTTGTATATAAAAAGTTAGTAACTTAAGTTTTATACATAAATAATAATTACACATCAATAAAAGTCCCTAACATTCTATACTGTTATCTTGAAGATATTTATCGTATTGTTTTGGAATTCCTTTAAACATTTTGATCTTGGCACGTATTTGTTTCCAAGTTAATTGATAGTGATTTTTCTTATCTCTTGACATTGCCTGTATAAAAGAAAATTAAAACAATATAAATAATTTGCTACTCAAAGATATTCAAACTTACTATAACTTTACCTTATAATCTTCGTCATATTTTTGTATCAAGTAAGTAAGGAACTGTGCTTGTCCTTTTGGTAGGTTTAAAAGACGTTGTCTAGGTGCTTTTGCTTCAGCTTCCAATGCTTCTGCTACATAATTTTTAGCCGGAATCACGTCCATAGCTTCATCTTCCTCATCTGACATGTTCTCATCTGCTACAACTTTTCTCTTAGCATTCTCCAACATTTCCTGCTTTACATTAGGAATTTGTATCGCTTCATTCGCATCATATGCCAAGCCCATTTCTTTCAAGTTGGTGCGTACAGATTTCGTAACTTCCCATGCTTTCTTCACTTGTTCGCTAATAACATTAATTAACACAAATAACATTAAGTAATAGATTAAAACGTTTATGTTTTATAGGCAGACATGTGTATGAGGTTAGGGGACACTCACCACGGAATAGTAGGTACTTTTTGCAACTTATTCCGTAACCTTTTACGATTTACATTTACACGATACTTCTTCCTACGTTTTAACTTTCTAACTCCTGCCATTTTGTTTGTTATTTATTATATATACTATGCACGTACGTATATCGACAGCAACAAACCAATACACGTGCTCCTGCTATGGAGATAACTTGAAAACCGGGCATCCGACGCGCCATCTGACAAAGCGCGTATAAACTACGTTTGTTTAGTCAATTGAATATTATGAAGGCCGATAAATTGTAGTGCGAACCTCGACTAAAATCAGTTTTTCAACCTAACTAAAAAACTAAAAGAATTCTGGTTCTGGAAGATTTCAACACAAGAAGTCAAACGAAAATGTGCAGCGAGTTTATCTTTAAATAGATTCAGCTTGCTTGGATATTGACTCCTGAGTTGCGGTCGCAATCGCCAGGATCGCAAGTGCTTCTAGATCTGATATAAAAACTAATCGTAACTAATTGAAACTAACAGAAACTCATTTTTCTAATCAATTGCGATGATAGACTATCCGATCTAAACGAATATGGAAATTCTGATTATATCCTTTCTTCAAATTAAATTAAATGTTAATCACCTCTTGAAATTTACAATTACTATGTCAGACAGACATTTGCGACGAGAGGAAATATCTGTATAAATCCTTTTGCATTAATTACATTTAATTTGATGGAACCAGAAAGAACGATGTTGGTATCTAATATATTTCACTCGCGTCTGGAGTTATAGGCTGCGTTCCGAAATTCACTGCCAGTACTGAAAATATATAGTTTGTGTCACGTATATTATAGATTTTCAATACTGACAGTGAATATCTCGACATATGAAAGCGCCGAGGTTGGTCTTGCGAGAAAATCAAATCGTGGATCTTACGTATTCAATAGGAAATTAGATCACGCATTGGCAATTTCGTCATCATGACCGTTTCAAAGTTACAGAAAAAGAAACCGGTCGCCCGTGAAAGCGACCCATGTTCAATCAGATTTGTGCGACGCGTATGAAGTGATATGTACATTTCGATCATCCATTGTATGCAAATTCTCTCTGATTTCAACTTGAAACTCAAGAGCGCGCGCTGTCAAACAACCGGGACGATTTAAAGCGTTTTCCCTTGGTTATTGTGCCGTATCTTTTGTGCCTGTTGAATCGTGCGCACACATGACTTTCGATCCGCATGTTTTAAATTAACGTTGCGCTCATTCACGTAATAAACGCGCGTCGACTTATGAAGGGGATTCAGTCGGACGTTGCGAAACTTTCCGAGAATATTCCTTTCTCGAATTTCTTCCAGGAAGACGTTGACGTTGCACGAAAAACTCGCGATCCGAATGAACCACATTTCTGTGAAGTTTACAAAATTCAAAAGGCTCATGAGGACGAAGCGACGGGAAGACCATCAAGAAGACCATCATTGCTTGAGGACAATGAGGAACTTGGAGTACGAACGATTGCTTTTCGAATTACTTTCGAACTGCTCATTGGCTGCGAATCAATTTCGATTTATTCGCTCGTATCTAGTACAGTAAGACTATTTATCCTACTAAATCGTGATGTGTTCTCACAAAAATTTACATCATATTGGTACAAAAGTGTATGTATATATGTATGTATGTATGTATGTATGTATGTATGCATGTATGTATGTATTCCAAGATACGTAACTTATAATTCGCTCAAGTGTTCGTGTTTGTTTCCAGAGCGCGGTGTACGTGTAAGGAGGGGGAGTATGCGGTATATATAAATATAAATATCGCTCTAAATATATATTATATACACGGCTACGTAGTGAAAGAGGAGGGGAGAAATGTTGCGCGTGCTAGCGGAGGCGATATGGTAACGTCGAAGAGCTCAGGAGACCGAACACGAGACACCTGTTCCCGATCGTCCCGGATTCACCAAAGTCTGGTCGTCGCGTTCATCTACCAAGCGTAGCTGGTGCCGAAGCCGCTGAAAGTGGCGTGCACCACCGGCGCGGCCGTCTCGTACGAGTAAGGGGCGGCGTACGCCTTCGTGACTACGGGGGCGGCATGAGCGGCGTACGTGAGGGCGGCCGGTGCAGCGGCGATCGCGGTCTTAGCGAGGACCGGGGCGGCGGTGTAGGTCTTGGCGATGAGGGGAGCCGCGGCAGGTGCGACCGCGTAGGCGGCTTTGGCGACCAAGGGGGCGGCCGGCGTGGCGTAGGTGGTGTAGGCAGCCTTGGCTACCAAGGGGGCGGCGTAGGTCTTGGCTACGAGCGGGCTGCTGTAACTATAGGCAGCGGGTGCGGCATAAGTGGCTGTGGTCTTGGCGAGGAGCGGCGTCGTCGCGGCGTATCCGTATGCGGCTGGTGCGTAAGCGGTCTTGGCGATTAACGGTGCGGGGTGGGCGGCGTACGTCAAGGCCGGTGCGGGGTGGGCGGCGTATGTCAAGGCCGGTGCGGGGTGAGCGGCGTACGTCAAGGCCGGTGCGGGGTGAGCGGCGTACGTCAAGGCCGGAGCGGGATAAGCGGCCTTGGCGATAACGGGCTGAGCGACGTACGCGCTCTTGGTCAAAGCTGGCGCGGCGTAGCCGATGGCGTGCTCCAGCAGGGCGTCGTTGCTCACGTGGCTGTTGCTCACGCGGACCGACGAGTGCGCGGAGTCCTCGGCCCTGCTGTACGTGGACACGACGTTTTGGCCGGCGTAACCCTTCTGGGTGGACTCTTGGCTGTAGCCGATGCTGTTGTGGTCGGCCGACAGCGTGCCGATGTCGTAAGCCGCCGGCCCGCCGGCGCTCGCCACCGCCACGAAGGCCGCGAGGACTATGAACTGGAGGAAAAGAAATATCGTCAGCGCGCTCGATCGAACACGAGGACTTGTATTGTTATTAGCGATCAGGCGACCTAGGCGGGTAACACGCAAGACGCCCTGAGATCATGGGACCTCTCGCTCCCTGAGATACTCTAGACACGTTTGGGATGATTCTCGGGTGTCTTACGCTACTTGCGAAAAATGAGAAATAAGTACTCGAAGATTCACGAGTACTTGGAAACGTCGACTCGATTTCTCAGGGAATTGGCCTTCTCTTAATCTGAGTCTGAGAACTTCCGCTGCGGTTTCCCGATACTCAACAAACTTCTTGTCCCCATTGTCTCGGCGTTATTTTAATTTGCACGCATGCGGAATGAGATACGATCGTCTGTGTGGTGCGGTGTGTGTGGCGATACACCGCCAATTCTTACCTTGAATGCCATTTCGCTCTCGTCTGAAGTGGAACAACTACTGGGTTCTGCCGATTTGCTGATCGTCGGCCACTATTTATACGCGGGTGAGCTTGTCCGGGGGTTCGATCGAATTTTGGGCACTACCTCCGCGTCCGAGGTGATTGGGCATGGTCAACGGGAGAGGGATATGTACATGGGACTTCTTTGTGGGAAATATCATTAAGAAAGGAGCATACGAGAGCACACGAGAGCAAAGAAGAGGTAAGATAAGTCGCCCGAGGGGGGGAACACGGGCGAATTCCGGGCGTGGCGGCCACGAAATTAAGATCGCGCATCTGGTACGGAGCGGCTCGCTAGAAAACATCGTCGGTGTGAGGGTGCGACATTTATAATTACTTTTCACTTTCGTTTCGCCCCCGGCGATGCCCGATTGCCCAACCTTGCGAGCCGATAACTTTAACAATGGAGGACAGCAAATGCAGTTGTAACAACTCCGGATGACGAGTGATGCTCATGCGGTAACGCAGGTGATCGATGTCGCTCAATCGTGAATGAACAAGAGAGAGAGAGAGAGAGAGAGAGAGAGAGAGAGAGAGAGAGAAAGAGAGAAGAGGAGATTAGACGATGCAAATCCCGCAATTCCGCAAGTTTCCTTTTACGTGCGCGATACCATTATACCGTCATAAACTCACCATATTTTGTAGAACTTGCCAAGGACATACTTTCTCCAAATTCTCGCACTGACATAAGCGATGTCATATGTGTAACAGCGGGGATACGTAATACTTGCTTACACGTAGGTGCTCCCGTTACGTTATTAGTTGCAAAACTTGGGCTTGTACATTCGTATATGGCGTATCGCAGCTTCTAAAAATGCAATCTTGCAAATAAATCCGCGGGGGATTCTTCCTTTTTAAATGCGTGTACGAAATCGCATCAGCGCGGATACACCCGCGGGGGGCCGAAGTAAACGAGCGCATGATAAACGAGTCAATAACGGATAGGAAGATGAATGATCGCGATATCGAGCCCAATGTCTCGTTTGTAGATTACATTAAACGAGATTTCAACACGACATCGAAGTTATAATTATTAAGTCGAGAAGCGATACTTCAATGCACCGGCGATCATTGCGTTGCGCTGAACTTTGTAATTACTCCAAATGCGCTCGCGCAGTTAAATCGCCGAGTGTTTCGCAAATGTTAAGTGTCCCAATTTGCGTTTACAAATTTCATCTGAAACCGGAATCGGATGACCTGAGGGGTAAATGTTTGGTCTTGACCGATTAAAGTGAGCGAAAAAGCAATGAAAAAGAGAGAGGCGTTTCAGCGAGTGCGAGACGCGCTTCGACGCGATTGTCCACGTTCTAATTATCGAAAATGATTAGAATTCATAGAACGCGCATTCGCCGAGAGACACATCGACGTGGTCCTTTGTCGTAAAGTTGGTCACCACTGCGCTTTTAGGTGCTGATGCTAGGTCACGGACGGGCGTATCCTTCACACAAGCCGTTGAATTTTTTCCTTTGTAAAAGTACGTCTGATGCGGGGTACCGGTTACGTACGCACGCATGTCCGTCTGTCTTTCCCGTCCGTGACCCAATATCACCCTAAACCCTTTATTTCACGATCGGCAAACACGACGTGTCGGGCGGTCTACCTTCGCAATTTTTACAAACACTCAAATAATGGCGTGTACGTCGCACGAGTCGGTTCAACATTCTGACTGTGTTGCACGTATTCCACGAGGCCAACATCGGCGGTAAAATATTTCTGAAAAATACAGCAACTAATGCCATGTAAGTGGGGACAAGTAAAATTGTCATTATTGTGTCGGAAGTTTGTTATTATTTAACAAATAATCATACCTTTATAAATCTCTATCCGTTCTTCCTAATTTATACTTATTTCATACAAGAAAATAATAACCTAGACAGCTAAATAATAATCCACGAATGCGAATAATTGATTATGTTCTTAATCGGAGATTGTAAATAATTTACCATGCATAAACTTCGGCTTTCAGAGTTATGCCCGACGATTTAGTAATATTATCATGCATTGATTTGCCAGTGAAATTATCTTCAATAGTTTCTTAACGGCCTGTATATATGTGTAAGTATTTAGTATAAAATAACGATAAACGCAATCAATTAAGCAATTGAAGTTGAACAATATTCATACAATATTATATTTACACACGTGTATAAAAATTTTACAAATATTACAAATAATACAAATTACAAATAATTACAAATAAAAATTGTCATTAGTGCAATTCCGTGATATGCGAAATGAAAATTAATTCTGAAGTAAAAAAAGAAAAGAAAAATAAAAGCCGACGAGGATGGGATTCGAACCCACGCGTGCAGAGCACATTGGATTAGCAGTCCAACGCCTTAACCACTCGGCCACCTCGTCACGTGTAAAGCTGCGTTCAAAATGTCAGTTATAAGTAACTACTTCGTCTTTTGTAAACAAAATCATTTATATGTAATTCTTATCTGGCTATATATAACTAATAAAAAAAGTATATAACTAACAAAAAATACAGTGAATAAAAAATATGTATACCTATTCTTTTAAAATATTATCGTTTCTATCATTAACAAGTGCAGTATAAATTTATCACGGCAACATACTTCTACATTATGCAAAATCATCTCTAAGTTTGTAAATATTTCTTTACTCAATGTATTCTGTTCTCCGAATTCGTTATCGTACAGTTGGCACAAACATGTTGCAAAGTCAAACATATCGTCAATATTGTGCCAATTTTGAACAAATTAGACACCTCAAAGACGCGTTAGTTTTCGCATAATGTTATTTAGCATCAATTGCCATTGCTACAAATCTGATAAGTTCACAAATAACAAAAAGCCGAGAAATCATTAATTCCTTATGAAATAATCTTTAGAAAAAAAAGTAGTTTATCATTTCATTGCGTTTCAAAAGAAACTACATACGAAGGAAACGTATATCTCTCCGGAGAAGACAACTGTAATTCTTCATATTGCGATTGTTATAATACTAGATACAAAGTGTTTACAGTTGCATTTTTTTTCATTTTCCTTCAATATTGGCTAACGGCGCCTATTAAGGCGAATTCTCAAACGCCATTTTACGATAAATTGAGATAATAGAAAAGAAAAAATAAGAATGAAATGTGGTACGAAGAACAGAAATTATGCGTATGTAGTCACAATAGACAAAAATTAAGCGTTGTTTCGCAGTGAAGAAAACTACATCCAACAGCCTCAAAGGCCAACAAAAGACTGTTTTTTTCATCTAATTTCACGCTTATAGATCTAACGATATCTCGAATATTGCATTTTGTCAACTATCGAATCCTAAAACGATGTGTAACTACACCGTCTACATACTTTATGACGAGAACGTGCAGAATACACGGTAACAACTTTAACCTCCATTATTTGTTTGAATTAGCGTCGACGATTATTCGTTAAAGTTTCTACACAAATTAAATTAGAAAAGTAGAACAAAAAAGAATAATAAAAGAAAATATGCTTCTCAGCTCCAAACAAGACAGACATCTGTGAAACAAAAGAAAATTCTGTATGTCAACGATCATTGTAGTAAATACAAAGTAGTAGTATACTTTTAACAAAAGTAAGTACAAAAAAATAACGTAAAATTTGTCGGTGAAGATACATATAATTCTAACGCATATTCTCGTCAACAGTAATGATTCAACGAACATTATCGAGTAAAACGATATATCTGACTCGTTTGTTAACCTGGTGCCGTACAAACAAGTTCTCTGATTCTACCACTACAAAGGACGGCGATGGTCCACCGAACACAAACGAATCACAGAACGAATCTTTTGCGAATGATTTCGAGACGACACCCACGGGTGAAGAGAATGTTGCTCGCCTATTAAAAGAATCCGCCACTTATAGTGATGCCAAAGATAAGAACTGGTCAACAAGTCCTTATCCTGCTGGTGTTCCACCTTCTGTTGAGGATGGAAATCTTGTGAAACCAAGTATCGATCCATTGGATACTTGCGTCATACTTTTTCCTGGACAGGGTACCCTCAAAGTTGGCTTGGTGAATAAGTATCTGCACTTTCCACAAGCAAAAGAATTATTTTACATAGCCAATGAGATTCTCAACTACAATCTGCTGGACTTATGTCTGAAAGGTCCCCAAAAGAAGCTGGATGAGACTCGTTTCAATCAGCCAGCTACAGTAGTGGCCTCATTAGCTGCACTAGAGCAACTGCGTGAAGAGAGACCCCGAGTATTTGAGACTTGCAAAGCTGTTGCTGGCTACAGTGTAGGAGAATTGACTTCCTTAATCTTCTCAGGTGTATTATCCTTTGAGGATGGTATCAGGTTGGTGTCTGTTAGAGGTACCGCTATGGAGTATGCATCTCATAAAACACCTCAAGGAATGATGTCAGTTTTTTGTACTCCAGAAGCTAAAGTACACGAGGCTTGCAGGGATGCGATAAAGTGGGCACGGGACATAGGTGTAGACAATCCAATTTGTCAGTGAGTACTTTGCATATATTTCTTTAAATCATTCCTATTATGCAAGAATATATATTTTGTAAAATTTACCTGTTTGAAATTTGATTTTTGTATAATTGATATATTTTTAAATTAGTTATTTCAGTATTATTAGTTATTTCATTCAAGAAACTAATTTCTCTTTTATAGGGTGGCAATTTATTTGTATACTCAGTCAAAGATATTGGCTGGACATAAGGAAACTCTCGAATATATAGAAAAGAATGCAAAAAAGTATGGGCTGATAAATTTGACCAAGTTGCCAGTGTCGGGAGCATTCCACACGAAACTGATGGAACCTGCGCTCAAGTCCTTTTGCAAAATGTTCAACACGTTGGAAATAGATGAGCCTCGGTGTCAAGTTTATTCAAATTACAAAGGACATATGTATGGCAATATACGATTAATTAGGAAGTATTTACCAAAACAAATAGTCTCACCCGTTAAATGGGAGCAGACTATTCAATGCATGTACAACAGACCTGCAGGAATGGCCTATCCACGAACGTTCGATGTAGGTTCAGGAGGAAGAATGAAAACGATTTTAAAACTGATTAACACGAAGGCACATGAGCAATGCATAGCCGTCTGATCTTCCATGTGTATATCTTTCGACGATACAGAAAAAAAGCGTTACATTTGATAATAGCATAATTTTGTATATATGCGATGAATTTTATTGTTATATTTAGCATGTGCGAAATAAAGACAATTGAATTTATATCAAGAGTAAGATTGTCTGTTTTTTCTTTTTTGAAGAACTTGAGCCAGTGCAATAAATTACAATGTAGAAAGATATATTTTCTTTCAATTTAACTTATTAAGGCTCGTCTACATTAGCTGTAAGAGTAAGGCTGTAAGGTTGCAAGACACGAAATGAAATATTTTCATTCGCTGACAGCTTACGTTACAGCCTTACAGCCTTACTCTTACAGCTATTGTAGACGAGCCTTTACAGTGTGTATTGGTTTTAAGGCTCGTCTACAATAGCTGTAAGAATAAGGCTGTAAGGCTGTAACGTAAGCTGTCAGCGAATGAAAATATTTCATCTCGTGTCTTGCAACCTTACAGCCTTATTCTTACAGCTAATGTAGACGAGCCTTAAAAGTTCTTCGAAAAAAGATAAATCTGTTTAACCGACATAATCCAACTTTGCTGTCCTTATGTTCGCGTGAGCGATACATTTAGACCTGACTTTTATATAACGTATTAGGGGATCAACCAATCAGAGAACCCGTTTCCATTTCTTCTCGTTCTGCAGATATTGTGTAAGCTCTGATTGGTTAATTTCCTTAAGCGTTATGTATAAGCACGAAGTTCTTGTCGCAAGAGGTCACTAAAGTCAATTTGGAATTTACTCTTGGCTACTGTAGACACTCTTGAATCTCGTTTTTCATCTTTACGGTTTAAAAACAATATATACATATATATATAATATATATATGTATATACACATCGCGGTGTAATAAGAAATTATGATCGAAGATTTGAACGATTTGGATAATTTAGTGGATATTTCTAGAAAAATGTTTAAAGAAGCATTGCTAACGTCGCCTAATTTTAAAAGTTATCCGCAATTTCTGCTGATAGACTATGGTAAGATGTAGAAATTATAATTTTTGTACTTTTGTACTCATCTACATATTATTTTTGTTACAGAATACAAAGCTCTTGTCGGTACTATTAACATGAGCAGTATGACATGGTCAGGTTCTATCAAGTATTACAATGATATTACAGACTTCGGTAGTAAAAATGCTACTATAACAAAAGACACATATGATGGCTGTGGAGATGCTGTTTTTCTAGCAGAAGATAAATTTGTAATCGTAGGGGATAGGGGTGCCATAGAAATTTTTAAGATAGCTCAATCCACAAATGAATTTGAGACACCAGAGTTTCAATCTTTGAATTATGCTTGTCACCACGATGATAGTGTTTATACAGTATCTGCATTTTCTGATAAAAAGAGTATAATCACAGGTGGCTTAGATTGCTGGTAAGTTATTTTCAAAGTGTTATAATTTCGTCATAAAAACAATATGTTATATTTGTTGCAGTATTAGGATCTGGGATGTGGATAGTTTTATTGCGACACAAACATATACTTTTGCACACACGGATAATGTCACTGCTACAGATGTAAAACCTATGTGTAATTATGTATTTGCATCTACTTCTTTTTCTGGTGATACATTAATTTGGGACATTAGACAATCTAAACCAGGACTTTGTATGTATCAGCAGATTTAACTTATAAGTTTTTTTTGTCTACTACAATTTCTAAAGTTTGCTCCAGATACACTACATTTTCTGATTTTTAGGCATCCTTGATAGGAAGGGAAAATATTATTCGGTATCTTGGAACCCTACTATGGACCAGTTTGTTGCTGTAGGTGGAGATGATGGTACAATTGCTTTAATGGATGTTAGACAACCGAATGAGCCATTATTTGAGCCTTTTTTACACAACAGTGGCTTGTGGAAAGTATTATTTAATCCAGATCCAATGAGGTATAGCTTCATTTATTAAGTAAACTATTCAATTTGAAAATAATACTTAATATCATAACATTTGTAACAATATATATTTTTTGCTTTCTAGGAAAGAACAGCTAGCTTGTTGCTTTGATAGCACATGTGTGAAAGTATTAGATGTCACTGATGATATGAATTTGATCATAGAGGATAATCAGCACACTGACTATGTACGAGGACTGGCATGGTATAAAGATAATTTATTCTCATGTGGTTGGGATGATAATGTAATTAAACGTGTGGTACCACTTAGCAGTGATAGATAATCCGAGTTAATAATATTAAAGTGATATATTGATTAAAATTACTTGATTCTATGACTTGACTATAATGAAATAGTTATATTTTTTTAATGAATTTAAAACAAATTATATCAATAAGTTTAGTATAAATTTTGATTAATTTCAAAATCTGATACCTCAGTAATCATTTTTTTAATATATTTAAGATTTTTGCGACTTTCTTTTGCATTTATTTGAGAAGAACCTATCATTCTTAGGAATATCATTAAACTACGTTTATGGTAATTAATGCTTTTTTATTACAAAAGACATACTTTAAGAGATATAAAGTGTTGTTATTGTAATAATATTGTACAACGATAACATAAGAAAATCACTTGAGGAGCCACCAGAACTTTTGTGAATTTTCGAAAGAATAATCGTGTAACATTTATGTAAGTAATTAAAACAAGTCTTTCTTTATTTTCTTTTTTTGATCCTACAATATGTGTACACATATTATGTATCGATTATCCAATAGGATAATGCAATTATAGGTTTACCAGATACTTTACTTACAAAATTACTTCAGTAAATTGTGTCAATGAGTTGTGATATAATGTCAATCAAGTAACAGATAAAAGCTTACGATTGCAAAACGTTCGAAGAAAACGATTTTTGATACAGCATACGATAAGAAAATCGTTCATTAAAATTATATTTAATTATAATATATTGGATCTATATGTATAGTGAAACGAGTGTACAGACTGATTCTTTGTACTAGCGTACAGAATAATGTAGATTTTTATGTACTTTGCGTCGTAACGTTACCACGTCCTTTGCTTTCTTGTATCGCATAACAATTGCGAGTTACTTCACATGATACATAACACTTATCTACATCGCAAATAAATCCTGAACATTTAAATTTTATAATAGTGCTGTAATCTGTAAGGCTGATCTGTAGGATAACTGCATAAATAATTTCTTGTAAGTACATTAATATCAAACTTGTTTATGAATATAACATACCATGTATAACGTGAAAGTTATCGGAAAAGATGGTAGAGTCACAAAAAAAGACGGCATATAATTGTACAGCATCTTCCTTTGCACTACTGATATCCCCATTGTATTATGCTGTATTGTATTATGCTGTATTGTATTATGCTATATTGTATTATGCTGTATTCGCACACGCGCACACATACGCCATTTAGGGATGGAACCTTTTTACCGGATGACACTGTGCCAATGTAACTTTGATTGAAAATATCCCGATATTCTGCTTGATATGAACGTTCTCCCTATTTCCGTTTAACTACCAGTGCCTCTGATTAAATTCGCGAATTACAAAAATCCTACAGCTATCATCATCTATATAAAAACTTGGAAAGGAGCACGCATGACTAACATTGATTGTTGTTTATCCAATATATAGGGAAAGCAAAGAATTGATATATCTAACATGATTGACACATTGAATTGCACATTGAGAGCTTCGTATCGTTCGGAAATGTCGGGTTACCAAACAATTTACATTTGTGGCACCAAGTAATAACGAATGCTCATGTCGATGAGAACACATGCTATATCCACATTCGCGTAGTTCTCATTTCGAGTACTGCTTCGCGTGTATGCTTTTTGTTCATTGTATTACAGAAATTATTAAAATTGTTATGTACAATTCTCTTTATATACTGAAGTATATCATTGCATTACGACTAATGCAACATGTAGCTCCCGGATCGACATTCATCATTCTTAATCACCTATGTAGCAGATTATTCGTAATAATTCTTATGTTATTTTGTTGTTTTTAACACATGTCTCATCCTTCTTCAGTTACCGATTATGCTTAATCCCATGTTTGAGCACTTAATTCAATTACAATCCGAACTCCTTCTCGTCGTCCTCCGGTCGTACGTCTCCGTACATCCAGATGTTACGATGATTATGCTTCGCGTCCTCTTCCGCCTTCTTGTATTCCTCAATCTGCAAATGAATTACGCGCACGTATGTACGACTGCGGCAACATAAATGATATATATCTTATCGGTAGATCGCTGCTCATAGATAGTTAAGTTTATTGTGATAATAATAAACGATGAAATAAAATACTGACTAATTTCGTGAGCCTCCTATCCCGATGCTTTTGAACATGCACAAATCCATCAGAAATCAATCCTTTCCCGATATCGTAGTTTGTGCTGACGTGTGCCAGCGTAACAGCAGTTACATTATTACTCAATTTGTATTCCACGTTCAAGAGTAGAATTTTGTCCAGTACGTCTTCCTTGAACGCCTCCACTGCCGCCCTCTTGTCGTCGGTCTGCAAGGATAATTATGTGTTACGTGAATTATGGATGTCTCAGGCAGTGTAAGGATTGTTATTACTTACGTCGCTCGGAAGTGTCACGCACGCGAGCGCGTATTCGTGGGCGTACGGCTTGTCGGTGGCGAAGCGCGCGGGCAGATCTGCGACCCGCGTAACATGGACGGTTTCCCTGTTACCGTAATCGATATAGAATACGCTAACATTGGTGCCGGAGACCTTCTCCGTCTTTACGCGATACCACTGATCGTCGCCCGTGAATTTCGCGACGGCCAGATCACCTCTGGTCGGCTTGTAAGCGCCAGGAAGTGGCGGATTGGTCGCTAGTTCTTGGCGCAGCTGCACCATCAAGTTCTCCAGCATGGTTCCTTGATCGACGCTCTGGGCGTAGAAGTGAAGATCGTCGGTAACTTCGGAGATCACAACCTTCTGATAGTCGATCTTACGCTCCTGCCCTTCTTTCTCGTCCAAGATCTTGTCGCTCTCCACTGGCGCCTCCACGCGGTTCTTCCAGATCTGTAACACGAAGTTACGCGTTGCAAATTAACGCCAAGTAACGCGCGCTGCTTGATTGAAAAAGGTAGCGTTTGTATTATATGTTACTTACATTGAGCATCTTCGTTTTCGCACGTTCCTCCGCGGCTTTGAGGGTCCTCGTGAGTTCGCCAGAGTCTGGGAAATTTACCACCTCGGCGAGACCTTCCTCGACCAGAGCGACGGACATGTTGACGTCGTTTACCGTCAACCAGCCGATGAAACCGCTCAATTTCGTCTCCGTATTCTCGATCTTGATCTCTACGTCTCGTTGGAAGCAGTGCTCCTTGGTGAAGGCCAGAGCTTTCTCGCCGTACTCGTCGGCTTTCACTACTCCGCCGCCGGGCAATGTTCTCTGACAACGCGGAGTCCTTATTCCAGCCAGCACGAATGTGATAACATAGTCCTCCTTCGGGAGGAAGAGCTTCAGACGCGAGCCGCTGGTTACAAATTCTACAACGGCTCTGATTCCTTGTGCACGCTTGAGAGAAGTCAAGAACGCCTTTGCCTTCGACGGATCGTTCGACAAATCCACTATTCTGTGAACCGGAATGTCCTTCTTCGCGTGCAGCCCATGTTGCGATTTCTCCGCTTTGCTCTCGGCTACTTGCAGAAGATTGTAATGAGAAGAGCGCTGATCGTCGTTCTGCCTGTACTTGATTACTCGCGCGAGACCCCGTGCGACTAACGCCTCCGCGATGTTTCTGCGTCGACGTGAAAATAGAATGAAGATTGAGTTTTATCGATTAGTGGCGTAAGTCGTCGGAAAATAGAAGACTTCGCGGAGAGATTAGGATACTTACGTTTTACCGCAAGTGACCGTGCAGCATAGTTTCTCCGGGAAATTGTCCCTGGCCGGCTGTGTATAATCGACCACTACTTTCACGTTCTTCCTGATGAATTTCTCGCGCAAGAACTCTCGCGCTTCTAACATCCACGGTATATCGTAGAGAGGTCTGAAGTCCTTTGGCCGAGCAGTATTGTTGCTGTCCTCGGTGTTCTTCTTTTCGCGAGAGGGCGGCCGAATACTACTCAGAAATACCTTCTTGTTTTCTCCATTATGCGTTCGGATAATGAGCGCGTCTGCGTTGATGATCTCGACGACAGTGCCGGTGAATTCGACCTGCGGGCCGGACGGTTTGTAGTCTTTCCACAGGCGCAAACGCGCCTCCTTCGCGGCTTTTTCAGCCAGGTACAGTTTCTCAGCGCCGGACCTGCTATTGCTAATTGACCAATCTTGACATTTGGCGAAACCTTCACTCAGCAGGATCTCGGCGATGTTTCCTGACATGAGAAATAAAATTTACTCATGTGCAATGCACTCGATATAAATTTCAAACATGTGATGTGTCACTCAATAAACAATAATATTCAACTATCAGACTTATTTGATGATATCGACTTACCCTTGGGATGAATAATGCTGCCGATAAAGTTGTTATTGTTGACCGACTCCAGCACTATCTCGACGTCCCTGTGCAAGAGTCGTGATTCCACAAAATATCTCGCTTCGTCCGCATAAGGATCGCCAACGGAATTCTCACGGCGTCCATTTGGCCAGCCTGGGCAGCGAACACCCGAGATCATGAGTGTTATGTTATAAAAATCAGGTAAGAGGAAAGCCTTGACGGTAGAACCATCGAAGACAAACTCGATTACAGCTTTAATCGGTTTCTTGCCAAACTTTTCAACCAATTTTCGAGGATCGTCAACAGTCCACTTAATGTCCCTTATGTGTTCAGAAGCTGGTGAATCGGTCCACTTCCCTTTTTTCGCAGCTTTTGCCATATTCTCCAATTCGATTAACCGAGTCTGCTCTGCAGTGGGATTACGGTTGTCTTTTTTTACCGTTACCAAACCTTCAGACACTAAAGTCTCAATCACGTTCTCACCATTTCTATCTGCAAGATAACGATAAATGTTAAGTATGTAAAGTATATTCAGTGGGAAATTTCTTGACGAGCGACAAGTACCTTTTCCCAGCCACACAGTGCCGTATGTCCTAGCTGTGTTAACAGATTTCTCGATGGCGAAAGTGACATCTTGTCCAATGAGTTTTCTGCGTAAAAATTCTCTGGCTTCCCATGCGTACGGTTCATCTTTGGTCTCATCAGTACTGCAGGTATACATATAAATTATTTCATATTGAATATATTTTAACACAACTGTGAATTATTTACAAAGCTAGATGGACATTCCCTTTGTAGATATTGAAACTTTTTAAATAATAAAAAAAGAAGTTTGTAAGTGACATATTGTGTATTACGACATAACAATATTATAATTTAACAAAATATATGATATAATAACATAGAATTAACATAGAATTTATGCTTTTCACAGTACTTAAATATTGCGCTTACGCATACCTATCGTTTCCTTTCCAACGTTCCAATTTTGGAGCAGTGATATTGCATAAAGTGACTGTTATCTCAGGTGGAGGACCTCCCATGGGCTGTCCGCGAATGACAACAGTGTCTCCAGATGTCACCTTTAAAATAAGAATGTTGCATCATGTAAGGATCATATAGCGTATTTAACAATATCCAATGCCATGCGCTACCTTAAATCAAGATATTTATTACGCAATCACTGATACTTTTCATACAACTTTCCGCCAAGTTCTAGAGAGTTCAAAAAGTAATCAATGAATGGATACTGCAAATACGAGATTAGCTACAGATAAAATCGCGAAAAATATCTATATTTTCGTCGACCTAATGAAAGTGCAGCGCAACGTTTCGCGAACACACGGTGGATCGTCGCAGTGACGATATCGCAGTTTCTAACCATATGTTCTCCAGCCTGCTCCCTGCCAGCTGGGTGAGCAACAAGAAGTCAACATCGAATCGACACACGGTGTTAATTAAACGGCGCCCACGGTAAACGCCGATAAAGCGTGCGTTCTGCGACCGAGTCGCGCAATTTTTGCCGTAATTCACACGGCGCCAGGTGCTTACCTGTTTCACCACTCCATTTCTCAATTTCACTGGTGCCTGAGGTGCGTTCATGGTGCTCGTGGCACGAGACTCGTTCGTGAATCAGCAAACGGATGATTCGCGGTTACGTTTATGCGCGCGCCCGTTGTACTACGATCTACGCGCGTCCGCGGGTCCGTTTGTGTCCGCGCTTGGAGTCGGTTGAATTAGAAATTCCTCGTGGTGCGTATATCAATCGCGTGACGAAACTCAGGAGTAAGTTGACATGTTGGTCGTATGCGGTACACGACGGGAGAGAGGCACCGCACGCACGCACGCTTTCCACGTATCGGTGGAGTGGCCGGCACGAGCGCGATCTACACAGAGAACATCGTCCGAAATTCGTTTGATTTGGTGGTGATGTGGCAACACGCGACACGACGCCGCGCGCCACGGTGTCGCACTCTATGCGCTCCGGTTTCGGCCTGGTGACGCGCGCACAAGAAGGGATGTACAAAAACGAAGTGCGGAGGGTGTCAAAGATCCGCGCGTCTTTTTTACGTTGTTGTATTTCTTCGAATGTATCGGAATATTATTTCGCCCTTTGTCATACACATTTATGTTGCCTCTCCATTGAGATGCAAATTTACATTAGTTTCGTACGAGACCAAGAAGTGTAGAAATGTAAGCAAAAGCAGCAGCCGCAATCTGTTCTCTCAGCTGCGTATCCTGTACTTAAATTGCAATAGGTTTATATGGCTTTAAAAAGAACGAAAGTAGTAAATTGTATGAAGTAGCCTGTTAGCCTTCGTGATCGTTGGTTTTGAACTTTGTAGTCTTCGTAACAGCGAAGCTACGTATTATTTTTCTTTTTTTTGATGGTCAGTTGTAGCGAAAAATTAGATAGTCCGTCCAACAACTTTACCAATTAAGGTATTTTAAGGAAGAAAAAATGAACTGCATAAAGTCCAGTGAATATAACTGCAGTGAATAGATTTGCATGTAATGCTCGTTCCAACTACATTTTTCTGATTCTCATCCTTTTCATTCGAAAGGTACATCGAGGTAATTACGAAAATGATTTTACGCGTTAAAATGCAATTAGTGTCGCTTATCTCTCACAAATATTCATTCTAAAAGAATGTAAATTATTTTGGAAAAGTAGGTCAAGAAAGAGTGCGCCATTAAATATTTAATCTTTATTGATCCACTCATCATCTTAAATTACTCGCTATATATTTTATGTAAAATAGTACGGATTTTCTTATGGATCAAGAATTAACTAAAAGATCGAAATAGAAAAATAAAAAACGGAGTTCAATAAAAAAAAGATAAGTGAAAGCTACATAAACCAACCTTAGAACAATAATATTAATATTTTTGTTCTGAATATACTTTCTCGCTTAAATTTGAATCTATTTCATTATCATCGATCGCATTTAATTGATATTTGCTTTGGAACTTTATTTATCAACACGGCATATGAATTCGTAACGGTACTTTATTGCGCATAAAATTATGCCCATCACATGGAGGCGAGAATTATTTTATGAGAATTATTTTATCTAGAAATGGAATGATGAAACATGAAAGATTAAATTCGCAAAAGTATAAAAAACTATAACGGTCGTGCTGGGTGCAGGATGAATTTGAGTGCAAGTATATGTGAGAAAATGCATGTTTGGTAGAGAATTAAAGAGCGGCGATTTTCGGAGACTCTCGAAGGTGCATTATATTGACGTATAAACTACTCGCACATTCACAATATAACTATAGAAATCGCGTTAATAATCGTTAATAACTTTTATCTCTAGAAGTAAGCACAACATGTCATCCTGCATGGGCACATACAAGAAAATGAAGAAACCCAGACAATATTCACAATTCTAACTATAGAATTAAAAACGCAGAGGACCAAACGAGCAGAAATTAATTAAATACAGTCTCTTTCTGTTTATATCGTCTACAAAGTCTTTGGATTGGATAGAAGTCTTATTACGTTTCATATTCTATGAAAATCGCCGCTCTTTAATTCTCTACCAACATGCATTTTCTCACATATACTTGTACTCAAATTCATCCTGCACCCAGCGCGACCGTTATAGTTTTTTATACTTTAAAAAAAAAAACTATAACAGTCGCGCTGGGTGCAGGATGAATTTGAGTACAAGTATATGTGAGAAAATGCATGTTGGTAGAGAATTAAAGAGCGGCGATTTTCATAGAATATGAAACGTAATAAGACTTCTATCCAATCCAAAGACTTTGTAGACGATATAAACAGAAAGAGACTGTATTTAATTAATTTCTGCTCGTTTGGTCCTCTGCGTTTTTAATTCTATAGTTAGAATTGTGAATATTGTCTGGGTTTCTTCATTTTCTTGTATGTGCCCATGCAGGATGACATGTTGTGCTTACTTCTAGAGATAAAAGTTATTAACGATTATTAACGTGATTTCTATAGTTATATTGTGAATGTGCGAGTAGTTTATACGTCAATATAATGCACCTTCGAGAGTCTCTGAAAATCGCCGCTCTTTAATTCTCTACCAAACATGCATTTTCTCACATATACTTGCACTCAAATTCATCCTGCATCCAGCACGACCGTTATAGTTTTTTATACTTTTGCGAATTTAATCTTTCATGTTTCATCATTCCATTTCTAGATAAAATAATTCTCATAAAATAATTCTCGCCTCCATGTGATGGTCATAATTTTATGCGCAATAAAGTACCGTTACGAATTCATATGTCGTGTTGATAAATAAAGTTCCAAAGCAAATATCAATTAAATGCGATCGATGATAATGAAATAGATTCAAATTTAAGCGAGAAAGTCTTGTATATTCAGAACAAAAATATTAATATTATCGTTCTAAGGTTGGTTTATGTAGCTTTCACTAATCTTTTTTTTTATTGAACTCCGTTTTTTATTTCTCTATTTCGATCTTTTAGTTAATTCTTGATCCATAAGAAAATCCGTTGGATAGAAGTCTTATTACGTTTCATAGAATATGAAACGTAATAAGGCTTCTATCCAACCCTAAGACTTTGTTTAATCTACTTCTTCCATCCTCGACGCCTCTTCAGAATCACCTTCCAGTGGTGGCACTTCCGTGTCCATTTTTTCGTCCTCGGTGCTCGGTACGTCGTCGTCATCGAAGCCCAGGCCGAGCTTGATCATTCTGTATATTCTAGAGGCGTGCACCTGCGGATCCTCGAGCGCGAATCCGGACGAGAGCAAGGCGGTCTCGAACAGCAGCATGACCAAGTCCTTGACAGACTTGTCGTGTTTGTCTGCCTCCGCCTTTTGTCGCAGGTTCTCCATGATAGGATGGTCTGGGTTGATTTCCAGGTGCTTCTTTGCTGCCATATAACCCATAGTGGAGGTATCGCGAAGCGCCTGCGCCTTCATGATCCTCTCCATGTTGGCTGTCCAGCCGTACTGTGAGGTAACGATGCAGCAAGGTGAGTCAACCAATCTGTTGGACACTACCACCTTCTCAACCTTCTTGTCGAGGATGTCTTTCATGACTTTGCAGAGATTCTCAAACTTGGCTTTGTCCTCCTCTCGCTTCTTCTTCTCGTCCTCATCCTCAGGGAGTTCCAAACCCTCCTTTGTGACAGATACCAGCTGTTTACCGTCGAATTCCTTCAGCTGCTGTACGACGTACTCATCGATCGGTTCGGTCATGTATACGACCTCGAAACCACGCTTCTTGACACGTTCAACGAACGAGCTGTTGGCTACCTGCTCCCTGCTCTCGCCAGTAATATAGTAAATGTGTTTCTGATTCTCCTTCATCCTACCGACATAGTCCTTGAGTGAGCACATTTCATCGCCAGATGCAGAAGTGTGATAACGCAACAGCTCCGACAGCTTCTTCCTGTTTTGGCTGTCTTCATGGATGCCGAGCTTCAGATTCTTGCTGAATTGTTCGTAGCACTTCTTGTAGTTCTCCTTGTCCTCTGACAGCTCTTCGAAAAGTTCCAAACATTTCTTTACAAGATTCTTCCTGATGACCTTCAAGATCTTATTTTGTTGTAGCATCTCGCGAGAAATATTTAACGGCAAATCCTCGCTATCAACAACACCTTTGATGAAGTTCAGATACTCTGGGATCAAATCCTCGCAATTGTCCATAATGAAGACACGTCGCACGTACAGTTTAATGTTGTTCTTCCTCTTCTTATTCTCGAACAAATCGAAAGGAGCGCGACGAGGAATGAAGAGGAGTGCTCTGAATTCCAATTGACCTTCCACTGAAAAGTGCTTCACTGCCAAATGATCTTCCCAATCATTGGTTAAGCTCTTATAGAATTCGCCGTATTCCTCTTGGGTAATGTCATCTGGATTTCTTGTCCAGATCGGCTTGGTCTTATTCAATTCCTCATCCTCAGTATATTTTTCTTTAATCGTCTTCTTCTTCTTTTTCTTTTCATCTTTGGGTTTGTCCTCGTCCTCATCCTCACCAACATCCTCAATCTTGGGCTTTTCATCTTCAGTCTCGGCCTCCTTCGCCGGCTCTTCTTCCTCCTCATCCTCGCTTAATTCCTTATCGCGCTCTTTCTCGACAACAAGCTTGATGGGATAACCAATGAATTGCGAATGTTTTTTGACTATCTCCTTGATCTTTGACTCTTCCAGATATTCAGTTTGATCCTCTTTGATGTGAAGGATAATCTTAGTGCCTCGTCCAATCGGTTCACCATTATCGGGACGTACTGTGAATGAACCACCAGCAGAGGACTCCCAGAGATACTGCTCATCGTCATTGTGCTTCGAGATTACGATGACTTTATCCGCAACAAGATACGCTGAGTAGAAACCAACACCAAACTGCCCAATCATGGAAATATCGGCACCAGCCTGCAGAGCCTCCATGAATGCCTTTGTACCAGATTTTGCAATGGTACCCAGGTTGTTCACTAAGTCAGCCTTGGTCATGCCAATGCCACTGTACAGAGAAAATTCAAATTAATTATAAATGTTACATTAATACATATTGATATATAACTTCTAGGATAAATTAACACTTACGAATCAAGAATAGTTAGAGTGCGATCATTCTTGTTTGGGACAATCTTGATGAACAATTCTTTACATGTATCTAGTTTGGCTGGGTCCGTAAGAGATTCATATCTGATCTTGTCCAACGCCTAAACAGATAAAAACATGATGATTATAATAATGATTATTTTTAATGTAGATAACTCATTAGTTGATTTTTTGTTAATATATCAATTAAAATATTAAATATCAATTTTATATATTGATACATATTTAAGAATACGAAACAAGTAAGATATGCTTAGATATATAAACTTAAAAATGGAAGCTGTTAGAAACATAAAATTTCAATACAAGTAAATAATGCTTAGTAAGCAACACACACATAATAGAAAATATACAAAATTGAAAAAATATTTTCTGGATAAAGCAATCAAATTACAATCCACATAGAAAGTTAGTAATGAACAATGACATATAAGAAAGATATGTGAAATAGTAATAAAATCCTACTTTCATCAATTAATTTTAAGGAACATTTAGCAAATGAATATATAGATGCTATGTGCGTACACACATGAATACTTAATTTAACGAAATAAAATATAAAATCACAGCAATCCAACTATATTACTCTAAAAAAGCAACGTGTGAAAAGCAACGGCCATGATAGAAACGAGCATGATAAATTTTCAACTTTCATTGATAATATGAAAATTTACTCACATCAGACGCATTGGAGATTAACTCTCGGATGAAGATTTCCTTGTTGGAATAAAAAGTGTTGATGATCAAACTCATCAACTGAGCGATTTCGGCCTGGAAGGCGAAGGTCTCTACCTCTCCGGCATCAGCCATATTTACGTCTTCAGGCATTTTCTTCACGATGTATTATCTCTTGTATCTAACAAAGACACAAATAAACACAATTGTCAAGTCTAACGCCGAATTTGCAATTTATTTCGAAATTCCTTGATGAGTTCAAGGAATATCACTGTGAGATGCAAAGCCGAACCGTTTCGCGCGCTCTCAATCTGACAATTAACACGAACGAGGCGCAACGATCGCTTTTATACCTCGCTAAAGGTTCTAGAAGCTTCTCGAACGGAAGCTCATCCGGCTTCTAGAACATTCTATCAAAATCATTTCTCGAAACAGATTAACGAGTCGCAGATTAGTCCACGACGTTAATTTCGTTACTGTAAAATCTCGCGCGTTAAGTAATGACGCGAGTCGCACTCTTAATTAGCGAAAATACTTGTCTGCTCGTATCGATTATTTGCTTCACGCGTGTCTGCAACGTAGTCACCGGAAGTCGCGACATTTTCTACGAATCTAGAATCATCGCGATGGTTTCGTACGCGCCCTTCGAATACAAGCGCATAACGCTATACTTGTATGCGTGTTCTATGTATATGTATATGATCGACCTTTCATCAGCACATTTTAATTCTCTGTAATAAGTAGCTCGTCAAGGATCATTTCGAGCATGTCATAAGTACTCAACGTGATTCGACATGCAAGTTTGAACTTTAATTCCACAGCAACCACTACTTTTTTCTTGTGGTTTTATAATAGCGTTTTAAAACCCAACAATTTCATGAAGTACAGATTTGGTTGTCACGAGTACGCGACAATAATCCTTGTGCTAATTCGCGAATACATATATTGACATTTGATAATGCACCCTTTCTCCATCTACTGTTTACGTGGGAAATCGAAGATATTTGAATAATTTGGCAATGCTTATCTCAGAGAATTTGTCGCGTACGCATGGATGGAGATAATTATGTATACTTACGTACATAGATTTATTATAATCGCTGCAATGTCTCTTCGAAGACGGCTATTAACGATTCTTTAGGACTATTACTTGATAGTTAACTTGTATTGAGAAAATATATTACTAATGTTCTATGATTCCCCAATAAACACAAGTATGTCTTATGTACGTACGACGAACGTACATGCTGGACATAGTGTACGTCCATCGGATGTCCATATCGAATACAGTAGATGTCTATAGGACGTCCATTGTATGTCCGTTTGCAACTCCAAAGGACATCCATGAGACGTCTTTTACTAGACGTTAGTGGACAAACTATGGACCTGAAATGGACGAACTATGGATCTAATAAACAAATGTTGGATCTTAAGCGGACGAATTATGGACCAAATGGATGAATTTTGGATCATTTATGGACGAAATTCGAATCTTTATTGGACATACTTCGGGCAATTATTACGCGTGTATAATTCATAAATAATTAAATAATTGGTAATAATTAATAACAATTGTATAGAAAACTGAGAGAATTTTTATTTTTGATTTATATTGTTATTCTGTATGTACACTGACAAACACTGATCTGTTTCCTGAGATAAAAAGGTGAAAATTATTATTACATTATTATATGCAATAATTTATTCCCCCCTTTTATCTCAAAAAACGAATCAGTATCCACCAGTAAACATTATTACACTTTATATGTTTTACACTATCACATGTATTAATTCATATATATTTTGCATATCAACATTTTATCACAATAGTACTTATATATACTTTCAACTTTACAAGTATTATATCACATTGTTTTACATATTATATATCACAATATTTTATTACGAAAACATCTATAAACTAAAAATCATAAACTAAACAAATTTATAAACTGAATGCATAAACTAATATATATACGTGTGTGTGTATGTAAACTATAAAGTATATAAACTAAAAAAAAGAAATATTAAATTGGAAAGAATAGCAATATATAATAATTGAAAAAAAAATAATATATTAAATTAAAAAATTAATTGTTATTGTTATTTTCTCCTTGGTTTTTATTGTTATTATTGCTGCGTTCCTTTGCTCTTTGTAACCACTTTTTAATTGCTTCTTCGCAATCTTTATTGGTGGAGTTTGGAATACTCTTTTTAGTAGAACCTGTAATATGTTAAAAACAAATTAACAATTAGAAAATTGTATATAGATAATATATTTATTTAAATTATTTATGTTTTATTTGTTATATATTTTTATTTATATTTATTTATTATATATTTTTTAATATTTATTTTTTTATTTTAATTGATATATAATTATCTTGACGTTTTGATCAGTCTAGTTCCTCATCAGTATGATTTTTATTCCTTGATATTATTATAATTAATGCAAATTTAGTTTTTAAATAAGTTATTAGTAAGAAACGTGATATTTCTAACAGTGGAATTTAAAGATTAAACAAAATCTTTTTCTTTTAATGATACATAGAAACTCTTTAATTTCTTACCAACTGATGAAATTTCGTTTTGGTCATTTGACATTGATGGGCAGCAGATCAAAAAAAGGAAGTAACTGATGAAATTATTCAGTAACGAATCATCGAAATCACACGATTCACTACGGACTTATATAATAATTTAAATTGAAATATAATAATTTAAATTGAAAATATTTAATAATTATAAAGCGCAGGAAATTTTGCACTAAGTTCAAAATATATCTAAATATACAAAGTATAATTTGATATGTACACTATACAGGGTACAGTATACATGTACATGTACAGTATATACAGGGTGCACGATTTATCTGAAGACATTGAAATATCTCGAGAACTATGCATTGGATAAAAAAAAGTGGTTAATGAAAGTTGTTAGTCTCGAAGGGGGACATCCAATGATACCAAATTCGACCTCCCACCCCACCCCCTGGGGGTGGGGGTTGGGGACAACTTTGAAATCTTAAATGGAAACCCCCATTTTTTATTGCAGATACGGATTCTACGCCACAAAATACTACCCCGAGAGAATGGGGGGGGGAATAACTTTTATTATGTTCTTTAAAAATATTGAACAGGTATTTTTTATTTCTCAATCCAATTATCATTTCTGGAGAATTGCGGAAAATATAATTTTTTGCGATTACAGCGCCATCTATCACGAATAAAAAAAAAGTTTCGGACAAAATTTACGTATTTTGTGGCGTAGAATCCGTATCTGCAATAAAAAATGGGGGTTTCCATTTAAGATTTCAAAGTTGTCCCTAACCCCCACCCCCAGGGAGTAGGGTGGGAGGTCGAGTTTGGTATCATTGGATGTCCCCCTTCGAGACTAACAACTTTCATTAACCACTTTTTTTTATCCAATGCATAGTTCTCGAGATATTTCAATGTCTTCAGATAAATCGTGCACCCTGTATATCAAATAATACATAATATATTTAGTTATAATACCAAAAATCAAAATAACTAACAATGTCGTACATGTCCATGTACGAACATCCATTGGACGTACAGTATATATCCATACATTAATTATATAAAGTGGATTTCAAATGGATGTCCACTGGATGTACCTTTATTATTAGTCAATGTACGTACTTATATGGACGTACAATGGACGTACAATGAACTATTTTATGTCCATGGATATATGAACGTAAAATGGACGTAAAATGAACGTCCATAAGACGTACTGCGCTATTTGGGTCGTTATTTGTGACCATCACCTTCTAGTCTTATTATCGATCGTAAGGTCGATTGTCGCGTGGCACGCTGGATCGCTTATTTCGGTAATGGACGAAGCGAAGATACCTGCGTCGTACGTCAAAATATATTATATATTTGCGCATGTACTTGACGTTCCATTGATCGTATAGCGGCCGTCTTTTTTCAGGCACATGAATCCTGAGTTTCTTGCTAGATTAATTCCTCAAAACAAGGAGCATGTGCGACCAGCTTGCAAAAAGTGCGGTTATGCCGGACACTTAACCTATCAGTGTCGCAATTTCATCAAGATCGATCCCAACAAGGAGATTGTCCTGGACGTGAGTAGCACAAGCTCTGATAGTGACGAAAATTATGTCACTCCATTGACGGAGTTACGTGAACGTGAATTGAAGAGGAAGTTAAAGGAAGCTAAGAAGAAGCGCAAGGAGAAGAAGGAAGCTAAGAAAAAACGTAAAAAACGCGATAAATCTAAGATCAGCAATAGCAGTGAGTCCGAAACATCCAGCGAGGAAGAGGAAAAGAAGAGACATAAGCGCAAAAGGAAGAAGAAACATTCAAAACACAAAAAACGCAAGAAGCATAAGAAAGACAGTTCGTCGGAAAGTGATAAGCAACGGTGATGAGGCAAATTGTATATGACTTATAAGTTCTCTTGTCTCGTGGATATATTGAATGGTATGTGATAAGAAATAAATATGTCCGTGAAAAACAGTTAAATATATTTTCAATATAATTTATATTTGTCCTTTACATGGACCAAGTTAAACTTAAATAAAAATTAAATATTAAATTAAAAAGTAATTAAATTGAAATATGTCCTTAATATACATTTAAATTAAATTTAAATATGATCCTGCTATTGGATTAACTTTGTCCAGATGTGTATGTAGATTATATTAATAATTAACATATATCTAATAAAAAATGAGTCCAAATTTGATTTTATATTTGGAACAAATATAAAATCAAATTGGAACAAATTAGATTTTAATTAACATATAACTTGGTTTATACTTGAATTTAACTTGGTATATAAAGGACAAATATATTTAATTGTTTTTTCATATATTTAATTGTTTCTTTATAAGTGACTATTTTTTTATTTCTGTCAAGATGATGCAACAAAAATGACGGATTGACTTCAGTCAATATACATGTTTATAAATATAAACTTTTGGTTTTCAAATATGTAGTGCTTCAAACATTGTCATATCTATTTTTATTTGTGACTACCTATGACAGATTAATAAAAAGAAAAAAAATATATATATAACTTGATTTTTTATGGACAACCTATTTTAATTATTAACTTGATTGTAATTTTTATAGAATAAATTGAATTAAAAATTTCTTTATTTCCCCATTATGTTTCATGAAAGTTGCAATGTCATTATAATGATGGTAAAATCACATAGTCAAGTTTCTGCATGTTGAAAGCATTACATCATGCTTTAGAAATTTCTAGATTCTTTGTTACAAATGCTTCTCATTTCATGTTTTATCTCTTTCTTTCTCTCTCTCTCTCTGTATTTTTTTAATATACAGTATTATTAAAATGCTTCAAATCTATTCTTTAGAATATCTTTCTATCTAGAATATCTAGAATATCTAGAATATCTATTCTTTAGAATATTTATTCTTTAGAATAAAAAATATCCTTTATTTTGCTATATATATGTGTGTATATATATAAATTAATCTATTCTCGTGAGTCATGCTTTATATTTCTTGTAATTATTTGCTCCATTACTTTCTTTTAATATATCAAATATAAATTTTATTTTAGATGTGAAATTTCAGCATTATAGTTTTATATTTTTAATAATAGGCAGATTTGTTGTTTATAAATAAATAAATTTTATCTACACTTTCTGTGCATCATAAGATTGTAATGTAATTAAAAAGAGCAGATCTTGATGCCATCTAACGTCACGCTAAGTGAGTTAGCTACATTCTCTTACCAGAGAGGAGGAGAGGGATCATGGGCTGCTTTTACCCGATCCACCAACGAGATAATACCATATACATAGTATATCTAGACTGTGCGTTCTCCCAAATTTCAAGAGTAGGGATATAACTCTTGTAGGAAAGGAAGCATTCTGTTTTTACTGTTTGTTCTCTCTCGCACAGCCCCAATGGAAGGGAAATAGGGGCGGTGGTTACTGTACAGCACTGTACAGCAACTGCCTCCCCTATATCTCTTCTATCGGGACTATGCGAGAGAGAACGAACAGTAAAAACAGAATATATCCTTTTCTACGTGAGCTATACCCCCACTCCTAGAACACACAGTTTAGATATACTATGGCAGAGCACAGACTTCTGCATAACGCATAATACACAATGCATAAGAGAATCAACCAATCAGAGTTCTTCATTTCTATCCTGAAGAGAGAAATGAAGAAAACTAATTGGTTTATTCTCTTATACGTTATGTATTATGTGTTATGCAAAAGTCTATGGATAATACTAAAGACTGTCAGCCCTGGGTAAATTTTCGTATCAACCAAGGGGGCCCCAAGGGATCCGGAGTTAAGCTTAAGCCAGCGGCACACTGTGCTTGTTTTCGTGTTGGATTGCTTGCTGAATGAAAATACTGCGTTCTGATTGGTACATTTCCGAAGATGGATGGAAATGCACTAATCAGAACGCAGTATTTTCATCCAGCATAAAAACAAGCACCGTGTGCCGCTGGCTTTAGACTCCATATATGCCGTAGAGCTCCGGCAATTCTGCGATGACCAATCAGGAGACAGGCGTATGCCGCAACCGGATCTGCGGCTGTCTCCTGATTGGTCACCGCAGCATTTGCCGGAGTTCTACCGTATACATGGGCCGCGTTCAGTAGAACAAAGTGATCAGAGAGCGCTTAGTGATTATTGTCTGTGATTGGAGCATTCTTTTAGATTCTTCATAGACCCAGAAGTATTTACCAATCAGGAGCGAGATTCAGTGGAAAATTTAGTAATGTTGTCCAACTGTTGAGTCTGCTGAATGCAGCCATGGAGTCTAAAGGCTCGTCTACAATAGCTGTAAGAGTATGGGCAAGATAACAGGCTTTTGTATAACATATAATAATGCATAAGAGAATAAACCAATTAGTTTTCTTCATTTCCCTCCTCAGGAAAGAAATGAGGCCCTATGGCTGTAAGGTTGCAAGATATGAAATGAAATATTTTCATTCACTGACAGCTTACGTTACAGCCTTACAGCCTTAGGACAAGAGCACAGACTTCTGCATAACGCATAATATACAACGCATAAGAGAATCAACCAATCAGAGTTCTTCATTTCTGTCCTGAGGAGGGAAATGAAGAACTCTGATTGGTTGATTCTCTTATGCGTTGTATATTATGCGTTATGCAGAAGTCTGTGCTCTGGTCCTTATTCTCTTATGCGTTATGTATTATGTGTTGTGCAAAAGCCTGTGCTCTTACTAGGCCTGTTCGTTTTGTCTGTACTACTGAACTAGTGCAACAAGTTGAAGTGAGAAAACCTACGTTTGTCTCACTTTAACTTAATGCACCAGTTCAGCAGTGCGGACAAAACGAACAGGCCTACTCTTAAGCCCCTTGCACAATGCTAGGCAATAAGAATAAAAATAGACCAATCACAACAGATTATTCTTGTAATAGTCGATTGTGATTGGTCTATTTTTATTCTTATTGCCTGTTGCCTGGCATTGTGCAAGGGGCCTTACAGTTATTGTAGACGAGCCTTGAAAGCGGCTCATGATCCCTCTTCTTCCCTCTGTTCTCACATCCTGTTGTAGGAAAGTGGTGATTGGTGTGTGGAAAGTACAGTCTTATAGACCGGAGTCAGATATAGAACCAACCAACCAACATTCTGTTGTGTTTTGTTACAATTTCGTGAGTTCAGCTGACTCTGAGCGTAATTCTAACTAATATACAACCACTACTACTACAATTTCGTGAGGAAACTTAGTTTCTAACAAAAGAAATAATATTTTCTCGAAGGAAGAGAATTATTTCGTAAATAGTAGCAGCATGACGCGACACGCAAGGAATTGTACTGCGGGTGCAGTTTATACATATCACGAAAAGAAGAAAGATGCAGCGGCATCAGGTTATGGTACCAATACCCAACGCGTAGGCAAAGATTCTGTTAAAGATTTCGATTGCTGCTGTTTAACGCTGCAACCTTGCAGGAATCCAGTAGTAACGTATGTATACATGATATGTTGCGCCATTTTTTATTATTCGGACGCTACGATATTAATATGCATAATTTATTGTCATTACAGGAAACATGGGTACTTATTCGATAAAGAGGCAATATTGGAATATATCCTGGCCAAAAAGAAGGAATATACAAGGAAACTAAAAGAGTTTGAAAAGCAGAAACAACAGGAAGAGGTAAGTTAATTATAATCTTGTTTAGCAATCTTATTTAACTTTTTTGAAAATACTGTTATACATACAGGGTCTGCCAAAAGTTCCAGAACGGCTAATTATTTCAAAAAATAATGATTGTTTAAAACAATGTTTGAAACAAAAGTTGTAGGGCTTAAAAAAAGCTATCAGATATTGATAATTGTTTGATTTTGGAATGATCTTGAGAAACATTATCAAGGTCGATAGAAAAGTCTAGTACCATTTTTTTATCCCGACAAACAGCGAGATATCGTAAATTAAGTATTGGAAAAGTTACCAAGTTATCCTTAAATATTTCAAAAAATATTAGGCAAATAAAAAAATGTTTCAGACAAAAGTTTTTCAAATTAATTGGTAGAAAAAGATGATGTAATAAAAAATTGGAGTTTCCATTTAAGATTTTTATGTCGACCTTGATAACGTTTCTCAAGGTCATTTCAAGGTCAAACAATTATCAATATCTGATGGCTTATTTTAAGCTTTACAACTTTTGTTTCAAACATTGTTTTAAACAATCATTATTTTTTTAAATAATTAGCTGTTCCAGAATTTTTGGCAGAGTCTGTATATATTTAGATACATTTAATTTTTCTTTTTTATTTAAAACGTTAATAAAGATTGTTAAAAAAGATAGAATAGTATCATAAATATATATTTATTTCAAAATTCTATGAGAGAAAAGAAAGAGTCATCTTATGATTAAGATGTTAGATTTATCATATTAAAGTTAAATTATTATTATTTTTTTTAATATTTTGAATTATTTTTTCTGATTCAAATTCATTTATTGCTTAATTTTGTAATAGGAACAAAGTGCTAAAGATGAACTAAAGAAATTGCAAGATTATCTCAGTGGTGGACAAAGTATTGTCAATCGTTCAGATAGTTCCAGTACAAAGGATAAAGCTTCAGTATCTAATATGACAAATGGCAGGGATAAAGTGCTACCAAGCTTCTGGATACCTTCTAAAACCCCAGAAGCTAAAGAAGCCACATTACAAAAGCCTGATAGCACAATTTATTGTCCTGTCAGTGGGAATCCGTTGAAAATGAAAGACTTGATTCCTATAAAATTTACACAAGTTAGGGATCCAGATGACAACAGATCACTTATTGTCAAACAAGCACGATATATGTGTCCTATCACACATGATATTTTAAGTAACAGTGTTCCGTGTGCTGTGATAAAAACAAGGTAAGATATAATTATCTTTAGAGGTTTATCTCGAAGTTTAGCTGTTAAATTACAAGTCTAATTTATTAATATTTTTTACACAGTGGTGATGTGGTTACTATGGAATGTGTAGAGAAGTTGATAAAAAAGGATTGGATCAATCCTCTGGACAATTCCAAATTAAAAGAATCTGACATTATTCCTTTAGAAAGGGTAATTATGTTGTATTATAATAATACAGTCTAGACAATATGAATATAGATGATTCAGAGATAATATTTTCTGTTTATATTATGTTGTAGGGAGGCACTGGTTATGCATCTGTCAATGATTCCTTGGAAGGTAAACACGAAAGACCAGTGTTGCAAGCATGAAGAACTCGAGTGCGCCTCTTTATTGTATATATAGTTAATAAAGTATAGTTTACGTATAAGTAAGATTGATCTGTATGATCTTACGTAAAGTATAGTTTAAGTACATATTTAATAATTTAATAAAGTATAGTTAAGAATTAACGTTAAGTAACAGGCTTATCTTGTAAGTGTAAAGACCAATCACGTTCACAATTCTTACAATCCCTGATGTTAATTCTTAACTAACATCTACGCTACGTCCATTTGATTAATATTTTTAATAAGATCGGTTGAAATATCAATTATAAGCATTGGAAGTAAAGCGAAAGAAAGAGGATTTCAAAGAGATACAGTGTCTGCAGCCGAAACTGCAGTAAGAATCCATGACTGTTTTTATCGATAAATTTGTATTATTCTAGATGACCGGTCGCGATAATTAATTTCTCAATCGGCATCGCTTAATTAGATTACATAATAATGTTGACTCGTTATTTCGTCCAATATTTCTTAAAAATTACGTTATCCTATTTGTTTCGTTCGACACTATCATGGTGATTTAAAGTATCGCCATTGGTTCCAATCCTGTGAAGTCAGTATGGACAGTCGCATTGGTGGCGCCATCTCGAACGAGATGTAGTTTTTTGAACGGAGCTCGTTGAGAACGCGCGCTCCGCCGGGTAAGCGGCAATCTGCGGGACGGCGTTTAACGATCGCTGTCGCGTTCTTGCTGTCTGCGCGCGCGTTCGAAAAGACGGTTTCCGCGCGCGTTCCGTGCGTGCGTGCGTTTTTGCGGTTTCCCTTCGGGTTCAGCAGGCTGAAATTGCTCGTCGGTTGTCATGTGGATATATGCGGCGCGCGAAACAGAAAGTGCATCGGAACGATCGACGACGACGGCGACGACAACAACAACGACAATAACGACGACGCAGAGGTGAGCATTTCTCGTGCGTTTTCGCATTCCCGAGAGATTCGCCGGAATCTGTCCGAGTGAATCTCGGTTCTTTTCTGTGTTTCGAGATGAGCTCGATCATGATACACGCACGGCCGACGATCAACACGTAAGTAGGACATGTCGATCTCGCCGGTTCATCGGAAGTAAGGTGGTCGGGTCGGAGAAAACCTTCGCCATTTAGCTCCGATTTGATCGCCCCGCGTACTATAGACTTTCTACACTCGGTGACGGGATATTGGTTCTCGCGCTAGAAAACGTCGAAACGTGTAAAGGTGATAATATATAAGTTCTACTTTCTTGCAGCTTCATGCAATTCCAAAGGACTCGATTTCTTTCGATTGAGATACTCGCGAATCGGCGACGTCGACTCGGCGAACGATCTTCTGCTCGAATAACTACGTGTTCGTTACGGGGTGAGAAAAAGCGCGGGAAGTCGGCTTTCCACAGCCACGCGACACAGAGATCCGTTCTCCAAATGCGGATCTTCCTTCGCGTAATGCGCAAGATCGAGCGAGACGCAGCTCGCACACGACGAGCTTCCGCGATTTGCGCGTTCTGTGAGCGCAGATACGATAATCGAGTTTTTCGAGCCTGTTCGCGCCTCTCGAAGTCGCTTATCACCCGCTCCAATTTGTTAGCCCTGTGCAATTGAGGCGAGCGAGCGAGCGAGCGAGCGAGCGAACGAAACGGGCGAGCGAGTGAACGGTTCAATGGCTGAAGGAACTGAAGGCAACGTATCACATTATCACGTCGCGCGCACAGTTCGTAGACGATGATATAACGTGCCGCGTCGCGACGCGGCTCTTATCGCTGGCGTACACACATACACGAAATGCATTTATGTACACGCAGAGAGAAAGAGAGACGAGTATATACACCCGGGGAGACTCGTAACGTCATGTATGTACAAACGCATGCACACACACACACACACACACACACACGCTGCATGCGCGCCTCCGTGTTGTTATGCATGCATTCTGCATCGTGTTGGAAAACGCCGCGGTCTGACTGAACCTTCCTCATTTCGGAAAGTCCGATCGATCAGCCGAGCGATCGACAGGAATGTCGTGACTTGAAATTTCTTTTTCGGCTCTACTTTCAGCTTCATTCTACCACCTGTAGAACGTCCTACGCTCTGCGTTCTACGCTATCGGTAGAACAGTTCCTTTCCAATAGTGTTTTATCTCGACAGCATAAAAAAGTATTGTGTAACTCTATAATCTATATATAGGTTTATTTAATATCTTGCTTCTATTCTACAAGAGATAAGAAAGTATCTTGAACAGGAAATAGGGATACGGACAGTTCTCTGTCGTGAAGTTACGTTTATCAAATTGCAAAATTTCTCGGTGAGGTTGAAATGATCAGGTGTGCGACAACGAGATAATACCTGCCCGCGTTAGACACGGAATTTTCACGACATTTCACGGCGAATTACGGAGAACGACTGGATAAAATAATTTAGGCGACTCGAGGAAGTTCACATTGGCTCAGAGGTCAATTTTGGAGAAATGTTTGAAGCAACAGAAGCTTTTTCGTAAACCTACTTTCCTCAACGTGAGCGAACGTGTAAAAAATTGAAATTGTTCATTAATTTCAAACATTCCGACGTGTTAGATTTAAAATCTTACGGAATTTTCGTATCCTTTGGTGATTATATCTTGATTTGCAAAGATAAACGATTGAAAATTTGGAGTAGCACGACGAAACATTTTTATTTTCATTCCATGCATTATATTATCCCAGAACAATCTTTATGCACCCATACCGAAACTCGAAAAGCATTAACTGACATGTCCGCTTCCCTTCGATAGCGCTCGTCCGCCATCGCAGAATATATAAGTGAAAAATTATGCTGTGCATATCAGTTGCCTGTTGCATAATGGTTAAAAACGATGAGATCTGCAGGACTGAGCGGCGATATGATTACGTAAGCGACGAGTCGGTTGAAAAGCTCATGAAAATATAGTTTGCATGAAGTTTCATAGCTCCCTTCCTCCTTTCCTCTATCCCTCTCTTTCTCTCTACCTCTCTCTCTCTCTCTCTCTCTCTCTCTCTTCCGCACGCGTGCACGGACAGTGATTTTATTTCTAAAGATGTATATGTTTACAAAACCGTTACGATAAGAGTCGATACGCCTTTTTCGGACGATAAGCGCCCTCCGCCGTTTTTCATCTCCTACGCCTTTCTGTTTACTGACCCGACGCGACCTCTGGAAAAGACAATTAGCGTTACACATATATTCCACATCCATTAAACCGACCGAGATTACATAACGGAAATCCGAGGAACGGCTCGGAGAATAATTCTTTCCATTACACGAGCGGCGCAATATGGGTGTATGACCGGCCGCCGCCGGTAGATTTCCGTGTTCTTTTATGCATCCGTACGCTTTGATTCATTCTCAGGTGCGTTCTCTCTCGTGTTGAGCTGACGGAAAAAACGAGATCTGGACTGCACGATCGAAGCCATACGACCGATTCTCTCGATCGTTGATCGATTGATTCAACGCGTCAGAGAGGCCAGCTAGTCCACGCACGCGCGATTTATGTTGAAAATCACGGATTCCACGATTTTCGTCGCGTCGCGTTGTTAAACATCTTTGCTAGGCTAATCCTCGAATGACGAAAGTGTCGGGATAAAGTCCGCTTAACTCTGAGCGGACTTTGGCACTTTCGTAATGCCGGACTCGAGCGTGTTTTCTTCCTTTTCCCGTTTGCGTATCTCGAGCTTAGTTTCTGGCAGAATCAGCCTTCGGTCTCCCCCCTCCCCTCTCCCCCCTCTCATTCGTTTCTAACATCTTTCAGACTGATTTCGAATTCGTTAAGAGGGACGTGTCATTCTAACGAATGCCGAGACGCGTTTCTCGCGCACCGATCGTCGCCGGTCTTGACTTTCACCGTACGACTTCTTCTCGCGACGTCGTTTCCGAACCTGAACGCACAACCGCACGGTTTTTCCGCGCGACACGTATTAACCCGGCAAGCAGATTACATATTCAAGGTTGACCGAGGGAAGCCATCGTCCACCACGTTAGCAGCCTCGCAAGTGTAATCGATGATTCAGTTTTCCCTACCGATCGGCCGGCCTGCCGGTCGGCCGTCCCTCCTCGCGGCGCGGATTCGCGCTCTCTCGGCATCGCCGATATCGTTACGTAAAGATCGCGGCGAGCGCGGATTCGATCGTTTCAATCGTGACCGACTGACAAAGAAACCGTATTATCGAAGGCGTCGATTTACCGTGCCGGAAGCAGGCTTGCTTCGCGCGACACGCGCAACAGCCGTCTCGGGAGCTCTCGCGAGCTCTTCGAGAGCAGCGCGCTCGGATGCGATCGCAACGCGCGATCGATCACCACCGATCGGCGCATTCGAATTTCGAGATCTCGAGACGAAAAAGCCCGCGAGCGCGTCGTCGCGGCGGCGGCGGCGGCGGATCGGAATGCGATCGTTGTTGATTAAATCCGAGAGCACGCAGGGTTGTTAGTTGGCGAGCGAGGCTGCCGGATTGCGGCGAGCCGCGAGAGGGGCTGCTCTCGGTGGGAAAATGACCGCGCCATGCTCGAGAATTGCTTTGATATGAGGTAATGCGCACCGCAAAACAAAAACAAGTACGCAAGCGTACGTAAGTGTGTGCGGAGCGGCGGCGGCGGCGGCGACGGCGACGGCGGCGGCGGTGACCGGCGGTGTGCTGCCGTAGTATATTTATTAACGAGCGATCTCGTGTAGCAGCGGTTTCCGTCGTGAGCAGAAACGGCCGGCTCCGGCTGTCGATTTCCAAACGACCGCGCACGACGGCTTTCGATCGTCGGCGAGTAATTTATGGGGGAGGGCAATTAGCCCGATCTATGTGGCCGATGCGACCGAGGAAAAACGACGGAAACCAACCGTGCGAACGCTTCCGCGTCGATTTTACCCCCGCCCCCCTTCCCCCCCCTCCCTCGTCTCGTTCGTCCCAGGACCCAGATCCGAGGAGATTTATGAGACAAGCCTAAGCCTGTTCGGCTGCGGTAATCGCGAATTTATGCGATCGAATAACGCGAAGAATAACGCGGCTGATACATGAATGTGACACAAGTCGCGTCACTTTTTTAGACGCGCATTTCTTGCGCGGTGTTATTAGGAAGTATTGTGATGGCAAACACGCTGGATATTTGTGATTAATAATTTTCTGCGCGGCAGACTAATAATGTCGGCGAGTAATAACATAAAGG